CACGCACACACGCACACGCACGCACGCACACACACACACACACACACGCACACGCACACGCACACACGCGCGCGCGCACACACACACACACACGCACAGAGAGAGAGAGAGAGAGAGAGAGAGAGAGCAAAAAGCAACGGAAGCCTACACTGGGCGCACACATGCAAGTACCGGTGAGGACAACATGTTGTCCGTTTAAGGCAAATGAACAGGGCCCTGTACTCTAGTCCATGTGGCCCTGTAGGAACCCAACAACGAAGTTGCCTCAATCGATCTGTCCAGTCGTCGTTATTGGCCACAAAGTCACGCGAGAACAAAAACAAACACACACACACACACACTCTCGGACACTTCTGACCTCGCCGCCCTCGTGTCCGAGAACTTGATTCTGAGAGATGAAACTTGTGTCGACATGACATCTTGCAGTGCAACATACATGTAAATCGGAGTCGGACTGACCCAATCAAAGGATCGTCAAGCCCCGATGGATGGCGATGTACAGTCGAAGCAAGCATGAGGTCTGAAATTTGGTACGGTGCAGACGTCCCAGCACACAAACAACAACACACACACACACACACACACACACACGCACACTCTCTCTCTCACACAGCAAGCAGCCATTATTCGATCATACATACACTGCCCAGACTGCTCGCAGGAAACCCAGTGGTCCCGACTTTCGTGGCGGCTTTGGGCCCTGTCTTATTTTGCACGTGCAAGCTTTGGCATCCCAGATCTCTCCCCATGGTCATCACACCATGCGCCGGACCCCCTGCATCCAAATCCCATACCTTATAGAACAAGCGACAAAGGTGTGCTTGTATATGTGTGTGTGTGTACACGACCGCACACACAAACAGAACAAAGAGACGCACCAAATACAGGGAGATCTTGATGGACGCCACGCAGCTTCTTCACACCGCTCTAGACTCTAACCACTCTCATCACTCTAATCTATCTTGCCTAGTGTCGAAAGGGGCCCACCTCTCCCACCGGCTCCTGTTCAAGTTTCAAAACTCGAGTCTTCGAGTGAAGGCCACTTTCAAACCCTCTCCTGGCAACCCAGATCTCTCGGTGCCATCTCGAGGGCGGCTTGCAAGTCGGGCGTCATGGTGTCCTTGCAGCTCGGGGGGACCACAAGGGACGGAAGAGGCCCGCTTTTTTGCAGTGCTGCCTGGACCCATGCAGGGCTTCGGTACCCAGCTCTCCGCAAGAGCTGCACCAGGAAAGAGCCCGCCTCGCTGTCAAGTGACGACTTCGCACGGTTCATGATGTACCATGCATCAGGGTTGGGGCGGGACATGTTTAAACACATGCCACTTGTGACCATGTTTGAAGCTCTACACCAGTAATGTATAAACGGTTGGGCCGCCTGTGTTGAAACATTTGTGTTTCAACGCTTTGGGCTATTCGGGCATGGGCCTTGGAAAAGGCCTCTCCGGGGAAACCCTAAATGGCAAGAGGAACGTGCGCACGCTGCATGGCATACTTTTCTTTCCAGACAGCTTCAAGCCCGGTCAACACCTCAATGTTTGTAGGATTACTTCAGCAAAGGGGCAGCTCCTGCCAGAGAAACCTTGCCAAGGTATACTGCCAAATGCCAGAATAGAGAATCACCAGATTCAGGAGGCCCAGCTGGAACAGGCCTAGATCGCGGGCAGCGCGGCAGCACTTTCCACCAGTGACTAGTGCAGTTCAGCAGCGGTTTGATACCCAGGAGCGGGCTCGGTTCGCAACCTGATCGCGGCTGCATGGAGCTCTGCCTTAAACCTGCCCCCGTTTTTCCTTTGCATGAAGCAAAGCACCAGGGGATGCAGCAGAAGCGGCCGTGTCGAAGCAGCTGTATCGGTGCTGCAGAAGCAATCGAAGCACGACGTACAAGTTTGCAATGCCGGTGGCCAACCTGAACGACTAGAACACCAATTAGCGATAATGAGCGCTTTTGGAGTGGGCCAACGGACGCTTTGCAGCCCAGGTTCATGCAGACCAAGTCCAGCGATGTGTACGCGATCCTGAGGTGCACCCGCCACCAAAGCTTTGCACCGAGCAACAAATGCATCGTGGTGGCGTTGTCAGGAGAATCCATAGCAGGAATCCCAGCGTGGACCTTTCGTAGCACGACAGTCCGTTCGCGTCCCGTTCGCTGCCCCTTTCAGCTCCGGACGGGAAGGCCGGGAGAGTGAGCCCTGCTTCCACTGAAATCGCAGCCAGAACCGCCATTCGCCCCTCTCCTGGCAGAAGCCCACAAGTTGCACACGCAGTTGCAATGCTTGGTCTGCCGTCCTGTCGCTGCCAGCGCGAAGAAGCCTTAGAGACACCCAAGCTGAATCTTACTGATCTTACCCGTTCCACTCTCTCCGATTCCACAGCCAGGCCCCGTGCATGCCAGAGGGGTGACCGGGTAGATTAAGTGGTTGAGAACAGCCACCTCAAAGAAAGCGAACCGGGAAACGCAGTCCACGTCCACACTCGTTGGTGTACGTTCCCTTGGTATTTCTTGCCACTTTCACCGCAATTTGAACCTAGGCTCTGCGTTCCGTCCACATCTGGCACAGCCGTAGGAGCTTCTGTGGAGAGACACTGCAACCGGCAGAGCCGCGTCGATTTCGACGCCTCTCAGAGAAGACGACGTAATTATATTATTCTTAAGTACTTTTAGTTTCTATTCTGCTGTGGTACGTTGGTACGTACAGAATCTGTATAATTCACCGTACAACCTCATAGCATATTGAATACAGCGTATGCTGTGTTATTCTATTCTGTTCGATATTACTACGCTATGTTATATGGGTTATCTCGGCTATCTCATATTATGTCATACTGCTTCTATTCTGCGATGCTCTATGATGATATACTGAAATGCATCACCCTAAACATGCATTCGGAAATTACAACTTCTTACACAAGCCAACACTATGTTACATGGGGTTATATTCTGTCATATGATGCAGTGTATTTGGTATTGTACGGCTTTGTACACGTATAGTATGCAGTTCATATGTTGATTCAGCAATGTATGGCATTCTCTTATGATATAAAAAGAAACAATATAGTTTGCAGCCAATCTGATACAAGATGATATAACGACGTGTACTACAATATAATATGGTTCAGTGCTATGATCTGGCATTATATATCATATTGCAGTACAGGATGATATCTTATATAAATACACTAATAGGACTGTTTCAAACGAATGCAATAATTACAATGCAACATAACATGTTTATCTTATAGCATATATAAGTATAGGGTGACGGGTTTTTCAGACATACTTTATCGGACATGTCGATGCCCGTATGGCGCGATTGGCGACTTTGTTTATCAAACGTCAAACGTGTGACTGGCTTGTTCATTCACGGAGCCCCTCCCCTTATCAGACGCGACCGTTTGCCCTGTCAGACCCGTGCGTCGGTTCCCCTAAACCCCAACAGAAGGGCCTGTCATGGGGCCTGGTTTTTTTGCACAACACACTTTCGCATATTTTTCAGTACCCCATAAAACACGGCATATTCGCTGATAAAGCGCGCGGTGTTCTCCGACATTGGCGCTTGATGAACCAACCCGCCGACATCTTTGAACCATGGAGTGCTGAAACCTCACGAATTTTTGACAGCCCCCAGTATGTATGTGTGTATATATATATGTACATACAATTTTGTGTGTGTACAAATATATGTCTGTATGTGCATATATATATATGTGTGTATATACGTATACACTGTATGTTTTGAAAACATATGTTATAATGTACTACAACAATATATTTATATACCAAAAGATTAAAACACAGTATGTTGAAGATAATTTTTTCCCTCTCGCATAGCCAAGGATCAAAGCCCACAAGCGAGGTCAGTTGGGGAAGATACTTTGCAAGCCCATAATGTTGAAAAGCCTGAAGATAATATGCTATAAGGTTTTATGGTATAATATACTATTCTGTACCATAGCAGAATAGAAAACAGTATTATAGTTATTAACGTAAAACTAAGATATCGGCCATAGTGCAACTTCTGCATAACCTTGATGTAGCATTCATATAACCATATAGCAATACTAGTCTCTCTTTGCACTAGACTAACTGTAACATATTTTGCGGTATTAACAAAACTGGAATTTACAATTGATGTAAAGTTTGTATAATCTCAATTTACAGTTTGTATGTTCTCAGTATACAAATCATGTTGAATTAATATCAACATGGAATAGAATAATGTGATTTCGATACGATAGGTCTCATCCAATCAAACCTACGTGATGTCAATGCGGTATGTTGCCACCTGCATATTGCTTCGAAGCCCACTTGTATGTAAAGGCTTGGGTCTAGGCCCCCGCGCCACATTCCCCCGAGCGTCCTCGACCCCCGAACGTCTTTTGCAAGTCCATGGTCTATGACGGTCTATGGCTGTTGGATCTTAGAAGATTGCTTGATATCCCACCAGTCAAGTCTAAAGCATTCCAAAATGGGAAAGGTAGAAATTTTGAGTGACAATCCACAATACCTCGTAAACCCTTGTGTGCGGGCTCAATCTGTGCGCGTGCACAGGGTATAAAGACTGTGGTTAAACACTATACTATACTACGACTGCGAGAAATTGCACGCCGCCAGGGCGTGTACCATACTGTAAACGAAGCCCAGCCGGAAGCATCCGAAAGCCTGAGGCGGTCACCTGCCAATCGCAACTCTTCCAGGGCGCTTCTGTAGTATTGCGGGTCCGGGTACCCATGTCGGGCTGGGCCACCACTCATGGACGTTTTCATGTGAATGGAAAATGTCGGCCGCAGGCGCCCCGTCGTCAAAGAAGGTCTTAGACCGAAAAGGAGTCTTCGACGGAAGGCCAACTGGAAGAGTGCCAGGAGAGAACGTCCTTCTTCGTCGTCCGGCAAATATGCATGCTGCGATCGACCCTCAAACTCCTCTCCGTCGACTGTACCGCGCGGAAAGAAGAAATGAAGTACCACGGTGGGGCAACTGTAGCCAGCCAGGCGTTGCTTTCGAAAATGCCAGCTCATCACTCCATCTGGCATCGTTCCTACAGTGTCCCCGTAGGCTCTTCCGCAGGTGGGGCAGACCTGACGAGTTTCGAACCATCGGTCCAAGCATTCTGCATGGTAGCGGTGACCACACGGCAGCAGGACATTGGCATCGCCCTCCAAACAAATGCTGCACTCAACCTGAGGCAGCAAATGGTGGATGTCACGCAAGGTGTTTCTGCACTCGCGCCAGTGCCCGGCGAATAATTGCGCCCAAGATGCGGGATCCGGGGGAGAACTCTGCTCGAAGTCCTCGTCAACATGCTCAGCCCACACTCGTCCGGTCTTAATTACGCATCCAGTGCCATGCATCTCGCATCTCGCTCTCTCCCGTGCTCACCCTCCCTCCCTCCCCACTGTCCGCCGCACAAGCTCGCCGAAGCTCTGCAGCATCCCGAGGCAGGATAAGCTGCGGCGCCATGACGAAACATACTAGCTGCAACCTGATTCCTAACCACTGCGTGCAGGTGTTCTGCTGAGCTTCAGTGGCTCGTTACCTGGAGCTAGCAACTGTTATACGTGGTCCGCGCATGATCTTGCTGTAACAACAGTGCACTGTTTCTACCTGGCTCTGCCTGAGTTGGGTTGTAGCTTGTCCGACTCTGAGACCCGTCAGCTATCGGCAGCAAATTCTCTGTGCAGAAACCGTCGGCTTCACGAGTCTGGCGTGCAAGAACTCTTCTGCGATTCTTTGCTTCTCGGCAGCGACGCCTTGGCTGAGGCTGAAGCCAAGCGAGTCAAGTAAGGGAACTCTTGAGCTCAGCTGAGCTCGGCACAACTTCGGATGGCGGCTTCGAAAGTAAGCTCGTTGCTGCACGGAGCGGCAGACAGAACTTGCAAAGCCCTCCGCCATTCGGCGCATGGGGACACCACGTCGTCGGGCGTGGCGAAAGCTTCCAAAGCTGCGGTATAACTCACCACTGAAGAGTTTAGAAGTACCTCCTCCTGAGTTGCCCGAAACCACAACTAGTTTCTAGATGTTGCTTTCTGCAATCATGATATGGCATGGGCGTCTTCCAAAACATCGAGGGCCAGCCAACACTCTGCTTTGCGCGAACGGGGAAGGTATAAGCCAGACCGGGCGGCAATTTTGCAAAGCAGCTGGCAGGCCACCGGCCACTCTCCCCCGACACCGGACACCACAGCATTGTATGCGATCACATCCTCAGAGGCGACATCTCTGCACTCTGAGCATGTTGAAACCACGCCTTTCTCTGAGGATCCATCGGTCCGGAGGGTGTGGGATGTGAAGCTGGGCAAGAGGCACCAAGCGAGCCTCAAACTCAGAAGTTCCCGGCTTCTTGAATATGTTGCAACTCTGGGAAAAGCCTAAATAAAGGTAGACCCGGGACGGGTCCATACCTAAACTGCCCATGTAGTGGGCAGTCGCCGATCCTGAGCTTCTCTATAAAGCTCTTGCCCTCCCAGCTTGTCCCGCTGTCCTTGCTGCCCAGGAACTGCCATGGGCTGGCCGCAGCAGCTGCCGTTGCCGCATTGAAGGTGATCTGGCTTGCCGCCAGCGCCCTCTGCTCCTTCCGGAACGAAAAAGGGGCTGTCCCAGGCCAGGCGAGGGTACTGCGAGGCTCCCCGAGGCTCCCGCCAGACTGGCAAGCAGGTGCAAGCTCCACGTCCATGCTCCTCGAGACCACACTGCCGAACTCAGCAAGCTTCCAACTTGCGGCTTTGGAAACGCTCAACCAAGGAACCCTTGGCGCAGCTGCTGAGAGCGGCATTGCAGAGGATGATGTCCAATTCCAGCAAACTGTGCTCGACATCGCCAAGAACGAGAAGTGCCTGCTGCCACTGCATGGCTTTTTCGCAAGCGCTGATCGCGGCACTGAAAGAAATGGCGTCGGCACGGAGGACCTCCAGCACAAACACCCTGACAACATCACGATACGATGCAAGTCGTGGGTACTATGTAGAGCTATTGCTGATCGGTGGCCCAGTCCGAGAGCGTCCGGAGCAAGTGGAGGGCCCACGGCCACTCTTCGGCCTTCTCACAAGCACTGATGGCCGAGTTCACCAGGGTCGTGTCCGGGACCAAAGCCCGGTCAGGGAGGCTTTGGAGGATGCAAATGGCCTCCTGCCATTGGCTGCCCTCCTCGCAGGCCTTCACTGCGGCGCCGTAGAGCACAATGTCCGTGTGCGCGTGCTCCGCTACCCGGAACAGGTCGAGGGCCTGTCGCCACTCTCCATACCGGCTGAAGGCCACCATCAGGGTGGTGTACCTCAGGCTCGACTTCCGACAGCTTAAACGCTCTCCTGTCATGCAATACAACCGGGCGAGCTGCACGACTGCGTTGGGAAGGACAGATCGGCACAGGCTGCCGAAGCAGTGAAGGGCAATCTGCCAAGCCCCTTTCTCGCAGGAGCTAATAGCAGAGCTGCAGGTGAAGGCATCAGCTTGAATCTGCGAGGCTTGCATCTGATCCAAGGTCTGTATGGAACGAGTCCACAGGCTCCGACGACCATCGCTAATGAGCAAGCGGTTGAGCTCTTTAAGCGTGCCGTTGCGGCTGCTGCGAGCGGATGCCATCGGCCCGACTCGACCCCCATGGCACCTGGCCTGTCAGGCATCCGTGCCCGCTAAGGCATTGTCAAACTAAGGCAAGCTAAGCAGTCCGATTGCGGAGCGGCTTGAAGCTGAGTCTAGCGAGGAGGCAAACATCCGGAGTCAGCTCAGTGGCAAGCAGCAACAGAAATAACAGTGATGAGTGCTTCAACTGCTGCAGGCACCAAATACACCACCGGTCCCCTGCAAAAGCAGAATCCTTCGGCATCGCTGCACTGCTACGCACAAGCCGAGGCTCTTCTTTTGGAATGCAACCAAGGGCTACTGTACAAAGAGAGCCTGCAGCTGGCGGCTGGTGCACCTGGACTGCAAGACCGCCGTATCTGGCAGATGAAGCTGAGTCCAGAGGTTTCTGTAGAGGTCTTTGCTCGAGGCAGCTACTAGAAACGATCGGCTACCAGCATTTCGCCAGACGCTTTTCGCCGGTGTCGGGGGGTGCCGTCGTGGAACGCTGGATGCTTGCGAGGGTCTTCTCGGCACTAACCTCAGTCGACAGAGGGCAGGATTGCCTCTGGTAGCCGAACTACTGACGCCAATTCTTAAATGGTGAGGATATCGATTGCCGCTTCTATAAGAAATTGTTTAAATACACACCTAGAAATAGCTCGGTGTCCCAACTGCCGTCAAGACTATTGGAGAAGATCAACACGGGCCTGCTCTGTCTGAGACAGGTGGCACTCTCGGCTCGGAACAGCTTGGCCTTGGCTGCGGAGACTGACTTGTAGGATACCATGGGCTCAGTAGTTGTCGTGCACCAGTTGGTCGTTGTTCGAGCGCTACATGGCGGAAGCTGCTGTTGCAAGAAGAAGCTGCTGTACTAGCTACTGGTAGTGACGCCTGGTTTACCCTCAAGTTGAAATCTTCTTCCGACTGTGACAGCCGTAATTTGGCTTGGCACCTTCGGCTGTGGCTCCAACAACAGCTCCAAAGCCCCGCAGAGGTCCTGGGAGGGAGCGCTGGAGAGTTGAAAATGAGAAATGGCAAGAAAAACACAGAGACTTGTTTAAGAGCAGCCTGCCACATACCTTGTGCAAACATTTTCCAGCTCTGCATGAGATAACGCAGAACAGCTGTCATCGAACCTCAACATCAGCCGCAAGCGACCAAAGGTGCCCTCAAAGACTCCTCCGCAGTGTCGTGCTCCGCGCAGAGCTGCTCCAACCGTGCCGGGGTGATTTCCAAAGCCTCCCAACCGGCCGCAAGCTACGAAGGCCGGTCAGCCATGAAATGAAGTCAAGCGCGTGATAACACTGTCTGGCAAGAACGACTTGCACTGCAGTCCTTGGAGTCAACGCCCCCGTCGAGTAGCAGGGTCAGTCCTGAGATATTTTTTTGGGGCCATCCCACCTGACGACCCGCACATGCCGGCAAAGTGTTCTTCTTCCAAGTGGCTTTCCTGCATCTCGCTGCTGACTTCCTGAGCGCACGCTGGAGACAGTCGAGGTTGCTTGCCTGCGTGCCCAATTCTACGCTCACAGGTCCTGCTGGAAATAATGGGCCACCATGTTGCACGCCTGTGGGAATGGTAGCTCTCCGCTGATCTCGAAACGCCGAAGACTCGACAACAAGCCGTGAAATGGCTCTGGATAGCTCTCTGAATCGCCTGGTTACCGACCATGTAAGTCAAGTGAAAGGTTTTGTCGATGCGACCAGGCCGGATCAATGCAGGGTCCAGCTTCTCGGGGTGGTTGGACGTCATGACCTGCCCGGAAAAAAAACTGATTCAAAAGGGCTGTAGGGCAAAGGCCAAAGTGGAACTCCCTCCGCCGGGCTCCCGACCAGGAGCCGCCCAGGCCTTGGCTCGGTGTCGCGGTTTAGAGAGGCTCTGACGGCTCGGAGGCTTTTCGGAGTTTACGGCGGCCCTCCTTTTTTCGGGTCCAAAGGGCGTGTCCACGACGCCGTCGAGGGTGTTCAGGATCCCGGCCAGGTTCAGCTGGTCCCCGCCCGTGGCCTCGCCAGAGGGCCCTGCGACCCCATAGAGCGTTTCGCCACCTTCCAGCCATTCGCACATGTCGTGATATATGGGAACCAAGCAGGCAACAAAAAAGAAACACCAGCCTCTTTTGTCATGAATGACATCCAGCATCTGCTGTAGAAGCTTTCCGTCCACTTCTCGCGTGACGCCCTTCTGTTCTGCAGCCGCAGTCCTTCAGCGAACTTCAACATTCGCACGGGCCGCGAGAAGCAAGGGGAAGCTGGAAGCTGCCAAGATGCTCAGTGGCTTCTTTTGAGTCTGTCTTGCCCTCCTGACGCAGGGCTCAAGGCACGCAGCTTTCCGAGGCCAAAACTCAAAGCTTCACAACAATACTCTTGCAAGGGCTCCTGGGTTCCTTTCGGCTTCGACTTCCTGAGAAAAGTAAAATGCGGCATATGCCCACAGGTCCCAGGTCCAGCCAGAGACGAGGCACTCAGACTCCTCCTCCTTCTCGAGCTTCTTGGCCAACCTGCGCGCATGTTGCAAGCTTTTTGACTTGGGTGCAGCTCTGGCTGCAGACAAGGCGGCGGCGCCTTTCCAGCTTCTCCAAGCGCTCGATGCGATCAAAGTTCTGCATACTCAACAGCTCCTCCCTCAAAGCTTCTTTCGACTGGTCCCGGCCTTGGATCTTAGGGGGCCAATGAGGCGTCTACAGAGTTTTTTCGTGGAACGGACATCCGAGGCGCAGGCGATGCACGACATGGGAGGCTGCGTCCACGTCCTTTCAACGGTGCGGGTCGGATCTCGGCGCAGGACACACTCACGCACCTCCATGACGAAGATGACATCCTTGATTCGTAGCCGCACTGGTGTTTCGATACCTTCTACCGTGTACTTCTGGTCGAAGATCCTCGCCGCAGCAATGGCACCCAAATCCCACGGCGTAGATGCTAGCGGCTAGCTGTTGCCCTTATGTGGCTGTCTCACAGCAAAGTCTCAGCTGCATCAACTCCGTGTTGGTCTTGATGCGTGCCAGAGGCACATTCACAATGGACCGCTCTGTATGTTGCGCCTCACACGCCGAGGCAAGCTTCACTGTCGGCCTACTGCTCGTGCAACACGACGGACAACCGGCAACTTCTGAATCCAAGTGCCACTCGATGCACAAGAAGGGAGTACCGGGGCTCATGGCGATGCATTTGTTGCTGCAGCAATCAGCGCTCACATCCGCTCACGAAGCAAGCTGAGCACCAGACAAGGACTTTGATCAGGCTGGTTTTGCCTTCTCGACACATCTTGACATGGACTCCGCAGCAAGTAAACATAGCTCTTGCCTGTGCCGGGTGGGCCATACAGCAGCAACCCCAACTTGTGGGGATAACCTGGGATACCGTACCTGGCCGTAGCTCAACTTTAACCTGTCGGACTGTGTGCAGAAAGCCAGCCACGGGAAAATCATGGGTGAATCCATGGTGAAAGCGTCCAACATGTGCCCTATGCTGAGGTGGCCCACTTGCCAGTGCGATGCTTGAAGTGGTCCAAGATTTGTACCAGAGTGTCCTCCCAACAAGGCGCATGCCATGTGCTGGCATGTGGCCAAGCAAATCGCTTCCAAACGCCTTCTCGGGGAAGAACAAACTCTGAAACGACTTGTCTCCCGACCTGGACCACTGGAAGAATGAACAACTCAGCGACATGCCCCAAACTCATGTGCTAGGACTGAGCATGTTGCAATTTGTATCTTCTGTACGATCTCTTTTCTGCTTCTTCTGCCTTCGAAGGAATCATCTCCTTAGCAAGGCCATCACGAAGGCATGGAGTTGCGGCACCTTGTCAAACCATAGAAGAAGTGATGTAGAAGTCTGAAATCTGGCAAGACACGTACATATACCGGCACTTGTTCTTGGACTGCATCTTGCTTTGCAAGTCCAAATACCACTGGTAAGACTTGTCAATAAAATCCACAACCTTCGCGCGACATTGCGGAGTACCCTATGTTGCTTCTGCGGTACCAGTGCCTGTTTCTCTTTGAGGGACTTGATGGTCATCTCCGTAGTAACTTTGACCGGTATGTGCGCCTCAAAGCGCATCCTGATGCTCTCTCCTATCACACGCTTCCACAACAAAGCAGAGAATTTCGTCAAGCAGCACTGTCTTTGTCTGGAGGCCGATCGCATTCGATGACTTTCAAGAAGATCGTCAAACCAGGTTCAACCTCGATCCATTTCTCCTCAGGCACCTTCTGGGTAATCTGGTAGTACGTTTTGAGGAACCCAATCTCCGTGTTTTTTTCAGGATCGTCTTCGTCGCCATCATCGTTCTCAATTTCGACTTCCATGTAGTGATCCTCCAATGAGACTTTGGCTTCCTTGTAGGACGAGACCTTGTCAGCAATGTACTGGGTCAGTGCCTTGCATCCCGAAGATCTATGCTCACGCTGCATAGCTGAACGGACATGAGTATTGAGCAGTCGGACAGGGTACCCTCAGAAGGACTGTCGATCTGTCGTATCCGGGTCCAGGGGTGTACAGGTACCCATCGCTTCGTCGCATCTGCGAAACCTTTCAGAAACTTTCAATTCAGAATCATGCGCGGCGCGATGGTACCTTGAGGCCTCGATGGTGCGCTGGTAGTATTCCGGAGGCGGTCTCCTGACAACGATGCAATGATCCAGTTTTCAGACGCTGGCTTTGAGCAGAATGCAAGCAGTGAGGCGCAAGTCTGTTTGCGGTTGCGTCTGCATGCAGCATCAGGCAGCTCCTGAACATTTTCTTCACTTTGGCCCATATGTCGTTGATGAAAGGAAGCAAACTGGAAGCTCCATCGAAAAGCCTCCATCGAACAGCACACGATCCTGCAATATCATGCGTCGCCCTGCCATCAGCTGCCCCGATGCTGCCGAACAGTATAAGGCGGAGACAATTTGAAGAGCAGGGGAATCAACATAGCAAGCCTTGTAGACCATCTTCGTCTTGCATCAGCCATGTCCCCAGAAAAGCATTTTGACAGCCAGGTGGCATTGTGTCATAGAACGCATTGCCACTTCTCC